TCTATCCTTGAGACAGATCGCAGTCCCAAACCTAGCCAATGTCTCCTGATCAACACCCCTCAAGAGTCTCCGAGCGTCTATCTCCGTCCTCCTTGCTAGTTCTCCTAGCCCTGTCCTGAATCGGTTAGCCCGCTAAAGACCCTCCTACTGCCATCCAAAGTCGCCCATCGACCTTTCTAGCTTCCACTATCCTTCCAAGAGCTTCCAATTTCTATTTCCACTCCCTTATCTCCCAGACGGYTACGAGGTCATCTGTCTAGCAGCTGAGGTAAGTTAGTGCTATAACCAYTTGTAACCTCATCGCCGACCGCTCCAATATGTCATAAAATGTTTCAAAGTCCTCCTTATCTCCACCATCCTCTATCGCCTCTAAAGTCTTTATCGATTCCTTCCAGTACCGGTCGTGAGCGGCTAACACCCTGAGTAGTGCACCATCTGTTACAATTCTCCCTAACTCTCCAGCTTTCCTGGCTTCGCTTATCTTCAAACTCTCAGCCTCTCTGGTCGTCTCGTACCATGCCCTTATCCGAGACCGCCCTTTCGAGTACTCAGAGACGAAGAAGGGCGTAGCGACGAAATGGTTCGGGGAGTCCAAAACAGGCATAGATCTGGAGATTCCCGGATGGGGTAACCCCTTGTACTGCCGCTGAATCCATAGGCAGCAGCACTGCCGCCAGCATGCGAGCGCCCGAATGACTGGCCAGGCAGCGAGCTCTTTCCTATATGGAAAGAGCCTGCCTCATTCGGCAGCCTGGCTGGACTGGCCTGGGCCCAGAAGCTTCCGCTAGGCCCCAGGATGCTGCGCCTCTAGTGCAGCTATTGGGCCTCGTTCTGTTGGGCCTCCCAACTGTCTGTGTATGAGGCTGCGAATCTTGCCCAGGGCCTGTGCTTTCGGAAAGGCCTAGAAGGCCTAGGAATTTCCACGCTGCTCGGCCTATGTTTCCCTTCAACAACTGGCGCGACGAAACTGCCTGGACCCCAAATGCGAAATTGACAGCCAAGGGCCTCTCGTGATTTGTTAGGCCCGCCTTCACTTAGGGCGGGAACATATGGTGAAGGGGGCCACTTAGGCCTGCCGAGGACCCATATCCTCGCATTCCCTCCTCCTGTACTTCGATAGTCCTCTGGGAAGTTTTCTAATCGCAGGCATCTTCCCTTTAAGATCTCTTTCATAGCCTGCAATGACATGAGGTGTAGTTCTCATGAGTTCTTCTCTGGTGAACCACCGATCTTCGCTGGGGTCCAAATGATGTCTGAATCTGTCCCGGTACTGCATTTTTGGCTTAGGAGGGCGGCCTCTGCCCGGTGGTCGAGGAACTGGCATCGGACGATGCTCCACGATCTGGTCTATGTCCACTTCGCCATCCATGGTTGGGGGCAGCATTGATCTCTGGAGGGAAACTGATATGTGGTAGCGAAAGGTGCCAGCTTGGATGCATGGAAAACAGGGTAAGTACGGAAGTGTGGAGGAATGCGAATCCCGTATGAAGGTCCATCCGGTTGATCCCTTACAATGTCTAAGATCTCCCAGGGCCCAAAGTACTGTTGCATCAGTTTTCGTGAAATCCCCATCTCCTGACCCAATTCATATGACTTTACCTAGACTCTATCACCTACCTGAAAGTTAGAGGGCCGTCTATGTTTATTCTCAGATGCGATCATAGCATCTTGAGACTTCCTAATATGTTCAACAGCCTGCTGCAGCATTTGTTCATACTTGACAGCAAACTCTATGCTGTCAGGTGTTGCAGTGGGTTGCCTTTCTGGTAGCAAAAAGTCAAGTGCACTTCTGGGCTTCCAACCAAGATCCAACTGGTTGGGAGTCGTACCGGTAGTACTCTGCACAACATTGTTGTACAGGCTGGCGACGAGAGGTAACTTCACGTCCCAGTCATCCTGACTTGGCTTAATATAAGCCGAAGCAGGATCCGAAAGGTAATGTACTCGGTAATATAAGCCGAGAGGTAATGTACTCGATAGGTCTCAACTTGGTCCCCTCCTTTTGCGCAAGGACCGCGCCTATGCCATATTGGCTAGCGTCTGTGGTCACTACAAATGGCTTATCAGGATCCGAAAGTTTAAGAACCTCGTAGTGTGTTAGGGCATACTTCAATTTCCTGAAGGCCGCTTCACACTTTTCAGTCCACTCCCACGGGGTGTCCAGTCGAGTTACCTTAGCATCATCCGACCTCAATCCATCCACTGAGATTTCATGACCCAAGTACAAGATCTTGGTGCGACCAAACTCGCATTTCTCCAAGTTAACCTTGTACTGGTCCTGTCTTAGGAGACCTAGCACTATTTTCAAGTACTCAGCGTGCTCCTCTACAGTTTTACTAAAGATAAGAATATCGTCGAGGTACACGACGATAAACTTGTCTAAGTAATCATGAAATATCTTGTTTATCACGTGCCGGAATGTACCAGGTGCATTGCATAGGCCAAAGGGCATCACCACAAACTCGTACAGACCGTACCTGGTCTAAAATGCGATTTTGTGCTGATCCTCAGGTCTAATGGCAATTTGATGGTATCTGGACTTCAAATTTATCTTGGTGAAGTACCGACATCCCTGCACTCTATCCAAAAGGTCATCGATGCGGGGTAGGGGCTCCGCGTTCTTTACGGTGATGGAATTGAGACCCCTATAGTCAATGCACATCCTCAAGGTACCTCCCTTCTTTGGGACAAATAAGACTGGCGCACCGTAAGGGGAGGTACTAGGCCGAATCCATCCCTTTTTTGTGAGCTCCTTGAGCTGGTGGCGGAGCTCATCCAACTCCGCAGGAGACATCCTATAGATTCGTCCTCTAGGTACCTTACTACCTGGGACAACCTCTATTGCATGGACCACCTCCCTCTCTACCATGCCTGTGGGCTCCTAAAAAAGGTCGGAATATTATGCGACGACTGATTCTATCTCTGGGGTGTTTTAACGGCCTCCCCTTTCTCAGAAACAAAAACTAGATACATGCCCTCCTCGCGATTCTGCTTGTGGTCTCGCTGGCCCCATCGTGCTCTGCCTCCTCCCCAAGGTCTGGGAAGTCGTCAATTTATGTCGCCTGACCATCGTGGTCAACGAGCATTAGTTGACCTTTCTTCTTCTAGTCCTGGGGTAGTCTCTTCTTCCTACCATCCCCCTGACTTTGATACGCAGATCCCAATTTTGCCTCTACGTCTAAGGCCTTCTTGCTGAATGAATCGAAGTTGTGTTGTTCGACATAGGCCTCGTCTACGAGCTTTGTCCTAACCTCTGAAGGCAGGCATCTAAGGTAATTCGTAAGGAGTACCTACTGGTCATAGCGCACACCAGGTACTACGAGCAGACGTTCTACGGTATCCGTAAGCTCTCTAACATTCTTGTACCTTCTAACACAAAGATTGTTGATCGCGTCTGTGGCCTTTTGGACCCCTTGAGGGTCATGCCACCTATTGTACACGGACCGTACGAACTCTTCCAATGTCTGGGCCTGGGCCAAGGCATCGAAGTTCTGACCGTAGCCCTGCTACTGCACTAGGCCATTCAACCAGCGGGCTGCTGACCCCTCTAGAAAGGAGGCAGCCACTACAACGTCTTGCTCCAGCCTGGTAAGCTTGTGCCTCACATAGGTAGGCACCGTCCTTACCTAGGTGTCCAAGTCCTCATCCTTCTCCCTGTCGCCGGAGAAGGGCTTAGGACTCAGCAAGGGTATTTTGGGCATCCACTGCATAGGCTGCATTGGCCCAGGGGAGCCACCGAAACAGGTTGCTGCACACTAACGTGGGCCTAGCTTGACAGTGGGACTGTAGTAACCACTGTCGTCGATGGTATGGTTGAGACTCAAAGGACCGGACCACTAGTCGCCACATAATCACCTGGAGGGGGCATGCCAAACAAAGGTGAGAATGAAGGTCCTACTGGCGACGACATCACTGATGGACCCGCACCCTAAGGGGGAGCTACAACGAAGGTTGCCTCATCACTGGACGAGGAACCTGTAGTGCAGCCAAAATTCGTTTCTGGTCTGCCACTAGTTCAGCCAACACCTCCTGCTGAACTACCTGCGCCTCCGCTACACAAAGGAGCGAGTTACACAGCGATCACATCGCAGGGTCAAGTGTTGACTCATCTAATGCTTCTAATCTGCTTAGCTCCTGCAATCTATTACCTAGTCTAACTTTTCTCATAATTGCTCTTCTTCTTCTCTCTGCTGCCTCATCAAATTGCCGTTGTAGTTCATCCTGAAGTTCTTCCGCTTGGAGGATCTCATAATCCTCTGGCGTGGGTTGAGCCTGCTGGCTGACTTGCAAGCCAGCACTCTGGCTAATGGAAACCCGAGAACCACTCTGACTAACTCATGACGAAGTGGCCTGTGAAGAGGCATGCGACATAATAGAGGAAGTAGCCATGGTCGCACCGGTGCTAGCTGAAATCTTAGACCTGGCACTATCCTCAGCGACCCTCGCTCTTCTTGCCGCTGTTCTCTCTCTAGCCTCTCTCCGCAGTCTCCTCTCGTCTCCTAAACCTAACTCTAGGGAAGTCAAAGGTGGACTGAGAGTAGTACTACGAGTAGTCCTACGGTCATCCACTAACAACTCCTCACTAGTGCTTGCATCACTCATGAGCTATAGTGTGTGTGATCTAAACTAGAATCCACACTGAATCCTACCTCAGCATGACACAACCGA